CGGCCGCTCTTGTCTGCAGAGTGCATTGGCTCTTTACTGAACAATAGGATCACAGCTTGATCAAAAGTTCAACTCTTCGCAGGTACAAGTCTGTGCGTCCACAGACTCATCCACTCATTTCTCTAGCTTCGTTGGCTAGCGTCGAGAAATGGGCCGCTAGCCCCCTGCTGAAAATAGCAATCCGTCAGGGCCCCTGTGACTCCAAGGGTTACACACACGCCTCCCCAAAGGGAGGCAAAAACTAAGTGACGAACAAATGTGCATTTGTGCGCAGCATGGACAAAAAGATGAAGACGTGGGAAAGAGGACAGACGGGACAAAAGTGTGCGTGGTTGCAATGAAAAGGGAACCAGATGCACAGGGACAAGCAGTCCTCATTATCAGAACCTGGGCGACCTGAAACCCAAATGTGCAGTGGATGTGCGCGTACAGACTAAGGCCCGGACCGATGTGCGCGCAAGAGAAAGAAAGGAGTGAGATGAAAGGACATGAAGCAAGGAAAGACATGAAACAAAAGAAGGAAAGAAAGTGTGTGAAAAGGGGAAAGGATGAAAAAGGAAACCAATGGAGGGGCCGAGAACCAATGAAGCCAGACCTCATTACAACGACCTAGGAAGACCTGCCTCGTTAAAATGTACATGCTGTGTGTGCACCTAAGGTTACGGCAGGTTCCAATGAACCTAAAAGAGTTACGGTCGCTCTGACCACGTGGAGGCGTTAAGCCAGCTTGGACCGCTGCGGTCACGTTTCGGCGTAAAGCCAGCTTAGAATTCAAGAATCCATCAAGTCTTGACAAATGACTTTGGCATAAGCCACCTACGCTCGCTGCGAGCTGCTCTGTATCCGGGCAGGGGATACGTTCAACGAACCCCTGTTCAACGGGTCCACAACAGGGGCCACTCGTCGGGGTCACCCTGGGCTCTCATTGAGGAGAGACACACTTATAGAAATGCGTACTGACTCGAATGCCGCTCGCCATGCGGCAACCTAAGGAACCAGATTCCTGAACAACCAGGTAAAGAGGCCTGAGCGCCTTTAGTTAAAGGCCAAAAGTTCAACTCCACGAAGCGACGAACAGGTCGAAGTGACGGCGGCCGCTCTTGTCTGCAGAGTGCGTTGGCTCTTTACTGAACGATAGGATCGCAGCTTGATCAAAAGTTCAACTCTTCGCACGTACAAGTCTGTGCGTCCACAGGCTCATCCACCCACTTCTCTAGCTTCGTTGGCTAGCGTCGGGAAATGGGCCGCTACCCCCCTGCTGAAAATAGAAAACAACCCGTCAGGGCCCCTGTGACTCCAGGGGCTACACACACACGCACACACTGGAGAAGAAGTTCGTAAGAACGTAGTTCAGAGTGGCACCACAGACGCATTAACACCTTACAATATCTTACATTTAGTTACTGCAGACCTAGAAACAGACCAGCGAAAGGGCCGAGAACAACATGTAATTGTTTTGCGTCACAGACCCCGAGCTGAATTCGCAGGCACATGCAAACAATCAATCCCATCGCCAAGGCTTGGAAAACTTTTTCGTTGGTGGTAGACTCTCTGCCTTGCTACCACCCCCTGGTGACTGATTGAAACTCGTTTCAACTGCAAACATAGTGGAAGGGAATCAGCAATTCGAACACGCACACACACACACAAGCGTACACAGTCAGGCATATGCATGAGCTCCTTTAGACTCAGTTGGCCCAGGTGCTGGATGAATTCCTCCGAGGTTTTCCTTTGAGGCACGCATCGATTCCCTGAAGTGAGAAGGGGCTTTAGGATTTGCAAGTGCAGAATGGGCAAGTGGATGTCATTGCTAGGATTGGGTGAAAACATTACCTTCCAAGTCTCATTTATGGTCCTGTTTCATTCACGGAAGTGGACGTGGAATGACGTGGAAAGTAGTATGCTTTGAGGAGAAACGTGGCTCCTGGTTCAAGACAAGCAGATGAAATTCAGGAACAACTTCAGGACAGCCAAGCATTTGAGGCTGCCATGGCTGCCCACGCAAGCAAGGCACACATTCAGAGCATGTGCAGGATCTCACGGACAAGCTGTGGGTGCATGCCAACCATCGCAAGCAGGAATCTGTCGAGGTGCCATTTACAGCCTTTGCGAGACATTCCGAGGGCATTTTGCTGCTGGCTTTGCAATGCAACAGCGCTTGCTGGCGTGGAGGAACGACAGCGCTTGCTGACGTGCACCCTGCCTCTTTTTATTAGAAGCATTGAGATAAGTAATTGTGCGTTGCGCAATCATGCATTGGCAGATGTCTTCATTGCAGGGATGGCTTCTGGGAAGAAAAGGCCAATGCACACCTTCAGCTGTCCTACAAGCTCCAGGCAGTACTTTTGGACTTAAATTTTTTCAGGAACCAGCCAGTGTATCACCCGAGTCTCTATTCCAATGCTTGCGACGTGGCAAGCTGTACCAGCTATAGGAGCACTTGTGAGCAACCAAGCCACGCGTGAATGGGTCCAACAATTTGTAGCCCAAGATAGCCCAAGGAGGCGTTAGTTTGTTGCCCAAACTCTTCCATGTTGGTCTTTCCCTCCATGATCTAACCCTCTGCGATTCGATGGGGCTTTTACGCCCAAGATGTTCAAGCAATCCGTCGGTCGTTTGCGCCCAGTTCCGAAATCAATTCTTACACGCCTGGCAGGGAACCCTAAAACACAAATAGATCATGAGGACAAAAAATCCAAGGCACAAACTTGTCCATTCCGTAGTTGGATGCAGGTCCACTTGCTATAGACGCCTCCATATATCATATACCTACAGTATGTAACTTGAGTTTTGATGAACGCTTCCTGAGAATCGGCAACGCATGCAGGTGCAGAAAATCCAAATCGGTCTCTACATATGCACCATTCACTGATATGTATTTCAGTCTTTTTGGCGCTTGGACATCTGCAGAAATGGGTCAAATTCCGGTATTGCCGGATATAAATGCTAGGTACTACGGCGGTCAAGAGTGGTTAGTTGGTGCCAACCGCCTCGATCGAACTTGTCTCGAGCCATGGCGAAGCCTTTGCGAGGGCGGGCTGCAGCAGAAGCTGCTGCCCAGGCTGTCCTAAGATTTGAGAGCACAAAACTGCAGAGAGTTGGCGCCTGTCGCGGAGCTGGTAGGATTCTGAATAAAGTATGGAGGATGATGAGGAACTGGATTCGAACAACGCCAACCAACCAACCAACCAGCCAGCCGGCCAGCCAGCCGGCCAGCCAGCCAGCCAGCCAGCCAACCCACCAACCCACCAACCCACCAACCCACCAACCCACCAACCCACCAACCCACCAACCCACCAACCCACCAACCCACCAACCCACCAACCCACCAACC